AAAAAAAAAATATTTCACTCATTTTCATTTTAAAAAAATGGGACAATGGGTCCACGTCACGTGATATGTACAACGAGTGCTAATTATATTAATAATATAATTTTTTTGTGGCCAATGTGACAGACCAGGCTTGTTACCATGAGATGCACGAGGGAATCGATGTTCGTACAGAAATTATAAAAGGTCGTTTTATCAATAATATAATTTTTTACAAATATATTACATCTTAATTATATTTAATATCTTGTTTGAACCCCGTCAAAATTCGTGATACATTTTTCTCTCTTTTTTTAATTATATATTTTTCGATAAAATAATATTATATATAAATTAAAAAAATTCTTCTTTTTCAAACATACATTGTCCAAAAAAACATTATTTCAAAAATTATAACATCAAATAATGAGGCCAAATAGGAGCTAGATATCATTAACTTTTATTCATTATTACACTTATATTCTTAATTTTTCTTGATCACGTTCATATTTTGAACATTTTATTGATTAAAATTTTTTCTTCTTAATCATAATTTTTGCCCAAATATTGTTATCGCATTTTGAAATGAGGTTTAATTATTTAGTTGCATCATTGCATTATAATTTGTTTTCATTAAAAAAAAAGAAAAAAAAAAGGTTGAACCCCAATCTTGAGGGCCCCACCGCCTCGTTCCTGGAGTATTGTGCAAGAGGTAAATCGAAGGATGTGCCCCAATCGGCCAGAGAACAAAAGTTTGCCCGTACACTGGTACTCACAAAGAGTCCAATTTCATATCTCAGGAATCGAACCCTCACACTGCGGCTGTTAGCAAAGTTGAGACTACCACTACACTTATGTCCTTTACACCACTGGTTTATTTAAAAGTAAAATGGTCAAAGGTGTGTTTTTACTATTTATTAAGTGCCTGTCAAGCCCTAATTCTTTTTTGCCGAAATATATTTTGAAATATTATTTTAATGAAAAATGTATAATAAGGAAATTTTTTTGAAGAGAAATCATAATTGGGAACAATTTATTTTAGTTTAAGAATAAAAATGCAATATAAAAATGTTTGAGACATAAATGTGACAAATTAAACTAATTGACAGTTTACCCTTTTTTAAAAATCAACCCACCATATCGTAGAAATCATTATTTAACAAATTGAAAAAGTGCAAGTTAGAGAAGGAGACGAATCGAAAATCCCATGAAAAAGAATATAAGTACAAGATACCTTAAATCGAATCTAATAAGGATTCGGAAAAAAAGGTAACCAAAACTAATAAAAATAACCTCTATAAATCGATTACTAGTAAGTAAGTCCAATGTTTGAATCTTCTTTTGATAAAGAGATGTGCAAAATAAAATCTTCACTCAAGGAAAGTCGACGAGAGTCATTGCAAATGATGAAACATCAATACTTGTCCATGGGGTGTTTTCGCAACTTCATCTTCACATCCAACAAGATTGCCTTCTTTTTCAAAAGATAAAGTTCCCACATTTTCTAACAATCGAGGAGGCAAGTGGTACATTGTAAAGTCGAGGTGGAAAGCTTCCCTTGTTTGGTATCAATTTAAGTTAAAATTAATAATTAATTTTAATCGCATATTTTATGAGTCCCACAATCACACATTCCATTAATTTCTATCAAAATTTACTAAAAAAAAGATTTTAATCCTACGAAACATAGTACAGGGATTTTAAATATATTTGCATAACGAAATTAAAAATTAAAAATGAGACAAGTAATTAGCCAATAGGCTGTCCTTGTTTGTTTATCAATAGGCAAGAAAATAAGTTATGAAATAGCCAATTTGAATTTACATATAAATATTTCAATAATTCTGCACGTCCAGAATTATTCCAACGGAAGAAAAATAGGATACTCATATGGGGTGGGGGCCCTGTGAGTTTTATACTGGAGACAAAAAAACACTACCAACCCATGCATGTGTGTGTGTTTTGAATTCTTGTATAAATTCTGTTCAATAATCTTTGTACCTATAGCAATACTTTAAATATTTTTTTGTAAGAATGTTTGATTTAGCTCTTGTTTGAATCCCATTTTTGTGAAGAAAATGAATTTTTGAATAGTGTATTGATGAGAAATGTGTGGTTGACAAATAAGGAAAAGTTTTTTATTTGCATATAATATTATTTTATTAAAAATATGTGATTGAAATGATGTCAAATCACTGTTAAAGAATGTATTTTGATTGAAAAATGGGGTTTAAACATGGGCTTAAAATGAGTTTAATAAAAAATAATTTTAAAATAATGATTGACAAACAGGTACAAAGTTCGGTGCAATGAATTAAAAATATGACAAATGCTTTAAGGGCTCACAATATTTTCCCGAATTTCTTCCATAAAATCTGTCCACGTACCATTACTGCCTACTGGAAGATAAGCGACGCTGTACGAACATATTGTCATCTCAAACGTCATGCATTCGCCTCTTCCTATTTAAATATTGCCAAATCCCCAATGCTATGTACCACTACTCATTTCTAGTCAAGATTATAGAAGATCTGCTGCAATAATATTTTTATTATTATACCTCACACACTGCCAGAAAATGGTTCGTCCTCACGTCCTCCTCGTAACCTTTCCTGCACAAGGGCATCTCAATCCACTGCTTACATTTGCCAAGACCCTTGTCAGAAATGGCATTGAAGTTACCTTTTCAACTGGTTTATATGCCCAGCAACGGATAGCCAAAGCTGCCGGCGATGTCACCAACGACATTACTTTTACGGCATTCTCTGATGATGGGTGCAAACCCAGTGAAGATCACGATCAATACATGAAAGAGATCAGAAATCGCAGTTCCAACACTATAAGGAAAACGATTCTCAGCAGTGCCGAGCAAGGCCGTCCAGTTACGTGCCTAGTTTATAGTCTCCTGCTTCCATGGGCTGCAGCGGTGGCACGTGAAATGCATGTCCCGAGTGCTCTTCTGTGGATTCAGCCAACAACTGTGTTGGATATATACTACTATTATTTCAATGGCTATGGTGAAGAAATCACTAATTCGTCGGATGATCCTTCCTGGAAAATCCAGCTTCCTAGACTTCCATTGCTAGCTAAACGTGATCTTCCCTCCTTTGTGCTTCCTCCGAGCAGCGATCACAAAGTTTTTGCGGTTTCTACGTGTAAAGAGCATCTAGAAACATTAGATGCAGAAACAAAGCCAAAAGTTCTTGTGAATTCATTTGATGCGCTAGAGCCTGATGCACTTAAGGCGATTGAACATTACGAGTTAATCGGGATTGGACCCTTAATTCCTTCTGCATTCTTGGGTGGTGAAGATCCGTCTGATAAGTCTATTGGTGGTGATCTTTTTCATCAATCAGAGGATTATGTGCAATGGTTGAACTCCAAGCCCGATTCTTCTGTTGTTTATCTGTCATTTGGGACTATTCTGAGGCTCCCGAAAGTTCAACTTGAGGAGATTGCTAAAGGATTACTCGAGTGTGGCCGACCCTTTCTGTGGGTCATTCGAGTAAAAGAAAACCCAGAAGAAGAAAAAGATGACGATAAACTAAGTTGTCTAGTAGAATTGGAAAAACTGGGAAAAATAGTACCATGGTGTTCCCAACTCGATGTCCTAACACACCCCTCGGTGGGTTGTTTCGTGACACATTGTGGATGGAATTCGACATTGGAATGTATATCATGTGGTGTTCCCATGGTGGCCTTTCCATTCTGGGCTGATCAAGGGACTAATGCGAGGCTGATACAAGATGTGTGGAGGACAGGCCTAAGAGTGAAACCCAGAGAAGATGGCACCGTTGAGAGCGACGAGATCAAGAGGTGCATTGAAACAATAATGGACGACGGAGAAAAATGTCGAGAATTGAGGGAGAATGCTAGGAAATGGAAAAATACTGCAAGAGAAGCTATGCAGGAGGATGGATCTTCCACTAAGAACTTGAAGGCTTTTGTTCAGGAACTTGGAGATTTTCACTAGGAGGTGATGCTGAAGATTGAAGTCTGATTCTTATTTGAACCGTACTGTTCTTGAACCCTGCTGTTTGAACACGAACAGGTTTACTGTTATTATTATTTAAGTATTTCTTCATTTAATTAAGAAGGGTCTTTGACAGTAACGGTTTATATTTTAAGTTGAATTATTTAAGCATTGTTATGATTTTGATCGTCTTTTTTGTGATTATTGAATATAAAGACTCTTAAAGACGATTTCTTCAAACATTCTCAATTCGATGTTTGCATCAAATTTTGTGGTCATTTTCATTTAGCTTCATCTGTCTTTTTATTTTGTACAGATTCCGTGCTACAGTGCGTAACAAAAATGTGCTGGATAATGTAGGTTCATATTTGGCCTTATTTCATAAAATTCATTTTTAATGTGATTTTCATAATTCTTATTAATTTTTTGAGGAATTGCAATTCTTATGGGTTAGGTGGGAAAATGGGTTTTCCAACTTTAATTTTATTTATTTATTTATTTTTATTTTTTTGACCATGGAAATAAATTTTATCTACAATTGTAATACATTTAACTTTTTTAATTGACAATTTTCATGAAAAATAAAGTCTAATGAACATAAAAAGATCCAAAATTTCAAAATATTTTCAGGTGAAAAATTATACAAATTAAATTATTTAATTGACAATTCTCAGTAAAATAAATTTTAGGCAATTCAATTTCTTGATGTTCGTTTTCTTTCCATCCAAATTTCATTCTTACGATGAAACGAACCCTCGAAGAAAGTGAGAATTCATCGAGAAAGAAGAAAGCAATGTCTACCGGAGAAAAAAAAAAAAAAGAAAAAGAAAAAGAAAGAAACGAAAAATAAAAATAAAAATAAAGAAACAGTCTTCTGAGAGATGGCAACATCATATTCGATTCAATATGCATAAGTTAAAAATTAGAGAAAAATACAAGTCATTAGTTCACTTGCTTGAGAGAATATTTATCATGAGTACGAGATATTATTATCAAGTGATATAAAAGTTGTCCAAAGTTATAATTGTTCGGCAAAATTGTCACTTTATGTCATTTATTCGATGTTGATCCTAAATTATCATGAATTTTGGACCAATAAATTCATTTTTCCATTAAAATGTGAAAATTTAATTTAATTTTATTATCTATTAATATATAAAAATAGCGATTAAATACGTATAAATACATCAATAGTCTACACATATCTATATATGTAAGGGTTTGTTTGGGAGCGATTCTTTCACTCAAAAAATTGATTTTTTGATCGTTATTTTACTATTTCAGCCTTCATATTTGATTTCTTCTCTCACAGGTGAACCCCACTTTTCACTTAACGGTCAAAAAATCAATTCTCAAAATCACTCCCAAACAGACTCTAAATCTGATTGTATTTGACATTATTAATATAATTTAGATTATATATGTAAAAAGCCAATATGTAATAAATGTGATAAATTACGCTCCATGTTATTTAACTAGAACACAATTTTAGATGGTATTAACTGATATGATTAAGGAAAGGTAAATTTAAATTATTCTTTTAATTATATATCTTATTTAATGTCATATTAGTATCACTTAAATTGATATTTTAATACTAATGATACTACATAGCATTATTATTTTAAGAAATAGTACATCCACCCTAATTGACGGCTAGTGATCCAAACCAAGTAATTTTTTAAAAATATTTACTTTCCTAAACTAGAAATTTTGAAAATTAAAACTTCCTAAAATTAGAACTCACTTCATAAATAAAAAAATTTCCCTAAAATGATAGTATCCATAATAGCATAAGCATTCTATAAGTAAAATAATTTCCATAAATAGCTAGTAATGGCGATCGATCAGAATAGTTTGTCAACTCGGCTCGAAAAGCTCAACCTATGAGTGGCTCGAGCTCGTTTAGAGAGCATTAGCCGAAAGTGTTCGCGCTAGCCAGCTCATGAGCTCTCCCACAAGCTGCTCAAATGAGCAGCTCGTGACTCGCTCATAATCTTTTGATCACTTTTAAAGTTTGTGACTATCTTTTTCTCTCCATATATATATATAATACCTCCAAACCATTTTTTCTCAAATCTCAATCCTTTCTCTCTCTCAATTTACAATTAATCAATTATATAATATTATTTATATTACAATAGAAAATGGATTCTTTGTTTTTCAAATGGTTGATTTTTTTTTAAAAAAAAAAAAAGGTACACATAACAAATTATTCATATACAATTTTAACTCCCTCTACTTAAAAGTAACTGATCGTAAGTCCAGATAAAAAAGAGAAGAGTTTTCATAAAATAACAACAATAATAATAATAGAAACATTTCAAATCTAATTACAAATTTTCAAATCTCAATTGCCAAATATCGGATGATTGAGTCAATAATCTTTCTTCTGCAAGTCTTTTTCTTAAAACGTACGTGTAACCATTATCGGACCTACTCATGGTCCTTGGGGCTCAAGTGACCTACCAACTTCTAGATTTTTTTCCCCTCGATTTTAAAGCCAAAAATAAGAATTGGGCACAATGGTAGTTGGGATTTTTTATTATAATAAAGTTATAGCGATGACTCAACAATTGAGAGAGTGAGAGTTGAGATTATTTTGTTATTTGTGATATTTAATTTGAAGTTTCTTTGGAAATTAGCATTCATCATATATGCGAGATTAATTGAAATTTTTTGAGAATTGTTATTTATCATATATATGAAATATGTGAATTTGTAATAGTGATCACTTTTAGTGTTCTTGTAGAATAAATAATTTTTAGTAATTTTTTAATAAGCTTGATTGTGCCCTCATTAACTTCAAATGTTTGCATCCGCCGCTATGTATAACTGTGTTTACTTGCTTCATTCTCCATAGTTGATTGCATGAAGAATGAAGCAGATAAACATATACTTCTTAAGAAAAAAAGTTCGCAGAACAAAAAATCCTGACTCAATTATATGAAATCGAAAATGAAAAAGAAAAACTCGTCTCAAGTTTCCATGTATCGTCAATGTCTTACTCATATTCTAGAATTGTAAATTTTCAACTACCCCACTATTATCGGTCCACTCATTTCATACAATGTCTTACTAACATTCTAGAATTGTAATTTTCACCTCGATTGCGTGTAACTAATGGCACCTTGTCTTAGTGATTTTGATCGTCTTTTTTGTGATTATTGAATATAAAGACTCTTAAAGACGATTTCTTCAAACATTCTCAATTCGATGTTTGCGTCAAATTTTGTGGTCATTTTCATTTAACTTCATCTGTCTTTTTATTTTGTACCGATTCCGTGCTACAATGTGTAACAAAAATGTGCTGGATAATGTAGGTTCATATCTGGCCTTATTTCATAAAATTCATTTTTAATGTGATTTTCATAATTATTATTAATTTTTTGAGGAATTGCGATTCTTATGGATTAGGTGGGAAAATGGGTTTTCCAACTTTAATTTTATTTATTCATTTATTTATTATTTTTTTGACAACGGAAACAAATTCTATCTACAATTGTAATACATTTTACCTTTTTAATTGATAATTTTCATAAAAAATAAAGTCAAACGAATATAGAAAGATCCAAAATTTCAAGATTTTTTAGGTGAAAAATTATACTAATAAAATATATTTACCTGACAATTCTCAATAAAATAAATTTTAGGTAATTCAATTTCTTGATGTTCGTTTTTCTTTCCATCTAAATTCCATTCTTACGATGAAACGAACCCTTAAAGAAAGTGAGAATTCATCAAGAAAGAAGAAAGCAATATCTACCGGAGAAAAAAAAAAGGGAAAAATAAAATAAAAATAAAGAAACAGTCTTCTGAGAGATGGCAACATCAGATTCTATTCAATATGCATAAGTTAAAAATTAGAGAAAAATACAAGTCATTAGTTCACTTGCTTGAGAGAATATTTATCATGAGTGCGAGATATTTTTATCTAGTGATATAAAAGTTGTCCAAAGTTATAATTGTTCGGCAAAATTGTCACTTTATGTCATTTATTCAATGTTGATCCAAAATTATCATGAATTTTGGGCCAGTAAATTCATTTTTCCATTAAAATGTGAAAATTTAATTTAATTTTATTATCTATTAATATATAAAAATAGTGATTACATACGTATAAATACATCAATAGTCTACACATTTCTATATATGTAAATCTGATTGTATTTGACATTATTTATATAATTTAGATTATATGTAAAAAGCCAATATGTAATAAATGTGATAAATTACGCTCCATGTTATTTAACTAGAACACCATTTCAGATGGTATTAACTGATATGATTAAGGAAAGGTAAATTTAAATTATTCTTTTAATTATATATCTTATTTAATGTCATATTAGTATCACTTAAATTGATATTTTAATACTAATGAAACTACATAGCATTATTATTTTAAGAAAGAGTACATCCACCCTAATTTGACGGCTAGTGATCCAAACTAAGTAATTTGTTAAAAATATTTCTTTCCTAAACTAGAAATTTTGAAAATTAAAACTTCCTAAAATTAGAACTCACTTCATAAATAAAAAAAATTTCCCTAAAATGATAGTATCCATAATAGCATAAGCATTCTATAAGTAAAATAATTTCCATAAATAGTTAGTGATGGTGATCGATCAAAATAGTTTGTCAACTCGGCTCGAAAAAGCTCAACCTATGAGTGGCTCGAGCTTGTTTAGAGAGCATTAGCCGAAAGTGTTCGCGCTAGCCAGCTCATGAGCTCTCCCACAAGCTGCTCAAACGAGCGGCTCATGACTCGCTCATAATCTTTTGATCACTTTTGAAGTTTGTGACCATCTTTTTCTCTATATATATATAATACCTCCAAACCATTTTTTTCTCAAATCTCAATCCTCCAAACTAATTTTTCTCAAATCTCAATCCTTTCTCTCTCTCTCAATTTACAATTAATCAATTATATAATATTATTTATATTACAATAGAAAATGGATTCTTTGTTTTTCAAATGGTTGATTTTTTTATTTTTTAAAAAAGGTACACATAACAAATTATTCATATACAATTTTAACTCCCTCTACTTAAAAGTAACCAATCGCAAGTCCAGATAAAAAAGAGAAGATTTTTCAGAAAATAACAACAACAATAATAATATAAACATTTCAAATCTAATTACAAATTTTCAAATCTCAATTGCCAAATATCGGATGATTGAGTCAATAATCTTTCTTCGTCAAGTCTTTTTCTTAAAACGTATGTGTAACCATTGGCGGACCTACTCA